TCTTAAAGCAACAATCGAACAAGTCAGTCGTCTTCATTATTGACCAATTAGTTCGAAAGGAGGCATTTATATGAAGGGTCAGCCAATTCTACGTACCAAAAGTCAAGATTGAAAGTTATGCAAACGCGTGGAGACACTGAGAAGCCAGTGGGGGTACTCTCTAAGAACTCAAAACATTCGAGAGTTTGAAAAAATATTGAAAACTTTCGATTTGGCAGAGGGGCATGTGAATTGAAAAAATATTAGTTCGAAAGGTATTTGTATGAAGAGTCAGCCAATTCTACGTACTAAAGGTCTCCAATGCCAGTGGATAGTACATGGATATACGCAACTTTCATGGGAAGTAACATATTGTCGCATTTGACCTTTAAGAGGTCAACATTTGGTTGAAAACTCAAAAAATCAGATTTTTTCACTTTTCGACCCGATTTTAAGATACAGGGGGTGGTCAGAGGGTCATGCAATGTGGGGGTTCCTAAGGATAATTTTTTATGGGGAATCCAAATATTGGGTTCATTTTGGGGCTACCACATTTTGGTAATTATGTTATTTTTTTCAAAAATTTCAACCCGTGCCCTCCGAATTGGGGCACCCGAATTGGGGTCCAAAACAACATGTCAGTGGATAGTACATGGATAGACGCATCTTTAATGGGGAGAAACATATGACCTCATTTGACCTTTGGGGGGTCAAAATCGCCTTGATATGTTTTGGGAAATTCTTTGAGGTCATTTATACCCCCAAGGAAGGGTCATTGACCCCCCATGTGGTGATATTTTTTTTTCGTCTCATTATGGGCTACAACTTTGCCGAAGAGAGTAATCGAATATTTTAAGTCGTTTACGAGATAGAGTTCATCGAATATAACACCCAAAAAAGGCGATTTTTGAGACTTTGAGGGGGCGTACCTAGACCCCATATTAATTTGGGTAAACATTTTTGATGCAAAAAGTGTTTTTTGGACCCCTCTACCACATCCACCAGGAATTTTGAAAATCGTAAGTGATACGCTGAGCATGTTTACTGGTAAGCGAGTACTTTTATAACTGCAATCAAGGCCAACTGTCAACAAAAATTTGAAATCAAGACTAAAGAAACAAAAAATTGCCCAGTATTTATGTATTCAATTTATAATTTTTTATTTTTCACATTTATTTTTATAAAATCATGTTGAGTTCGTAGAAAATATGTTTCAAGTTCAATAGAGAAATAAATATGAACGGAGAGACGGCTCGTGAAATGGATGATTCAAATTTACCAGGCATAGTGACCATGGGCGCTTTCGAATGTGGCATGTGAGACAGCAACGGCTGGTGAATATGAAACAGCGGATTTGGCAATGACTGGAGCGGCATGAGCGTATGAGTGATCATAAGAATGATCATAAGAATGACCATAAGAATCGTAACTTTTGACAACTGGAACGCTTGAGACAACTGGTGTCTTTACAATGGTTGGAACGACTGGAGTCTTCAAAACGGTTGGCGAGTAAACGGCCTTGGCAACAACTGGAGCGGCATCGTAGCTTTTCACAACGGTGGCTGATGGATAGTAGTGTGGATCTTCATGAACGTAACGAGTATCATATTTGCTGACATATGAGTGTGGAGTGGCAATGGTCTTTCCGTGATGTGAAATTGTACCGTAGGCTGTTGGTGCATAAGCTGCTGGGTATGCATGAGCTTCGGCATGGTAATTGTATGGTTCAGGTTGGA